TCCTCGAGAGCCTGACGAAGCTGATCTTCGGTATATTGAGGCATTATATATAGAAGAAGACATGTGCAAAAGATGAGCCCATTTGGACGCGAATTGAAAATGTTGTGATAAAAGGAGGTTGGGGGTGGGCATTGGGTTGTGGTGGATTTTCGCGTTTTTGTGGGTGCCAGAAACAGGGGGGTGCCAGGAAGTGGGTATGTTGACTTACCCGGTTGCGTTCCTCCTGGGTGTTCCCCGTAACGGCGACCTTCTCAAGGTTGCCCGCTTGATCGCCCTTAAGGTTATTGCTGTAAGTGCAACTCCTCATCTGGATATCGCTTGACCACTTGACTTCAGGTACTGACTGGTATATGAATAGAACGAGTACGTTGCCTTCACCGAAATGAAGACGCCCGAGTACCTCGATCTCTCTCCCCGTTCCCAGCTCATTGCGACCTACGCTCTTTGCGGTTTCGGTAACATTGGATCCCTTGGTATTCAGATCGGTATCCTTGGCCAGCTAGCCCCCAGCCGTGGTGGCGATGTCAGTGCCATGGCGATTTCTGCGCTCATTTCTGGCGTCATGTCGACTCTGACGTCGGCCGCTGTTGCAGGCCTTGTTGTTACCCACCAAGTAACGAACCTCGCTGCTAGTGCTTAGGTCACTAATTGGTCTCGAGAATCCGAACTGGATAGATGTCTCCGTTCGAATGGACATTGTTGAAACGAGAAAATATGACTAAAAGATGTACGATGTTGAGGAAGAAGTGTGCTTGTACAGCGTCGGTTGATGAGAGAAGAATATACACAGTAGTTAGTAATACCCAGTGCACCTGCCAGCAAGCGAGCTGGATAATTCCACTCGTAATATCAACCAACTATGAACTGAGATGAGAAAACAAGGTGTCAAGGAGTCCTCATATACCACTGTCGCCCGACTGGCAAAGGCGTGATCGAAGACTGTCTTGCGCAATCCGTTCTCTTTAATAATGCGATCCTCCCAAAAGTTTTCCCATGTTCTAGCATTTCGCCCCGCCGCCGTCTAAATCCGGCTGATCTCCGTGTGTCAGGCCGAAGTAGTATCCGCCATCCCAAGCCTAATTGGATCCGCATCGAGCAAAAATTTTTGCGTACCAAGGACGACAGGCATAAATCCGCCGGTCTCCAGCGGGCATCGGCGCCGGCCGTAGGCAGCAAGAACGGCTTTGCGACTGGCATTTGAGCCTCACCTTCTCGGCCTCCGCTGTTTATGGTTTCAAATGCAAGTAGGAATGCTCCACGCTTCCATCAATCCAGCTTGGTGCTTCTGGCTTCAGTCGCGAGTCACTGGTCGGAAGTTTCTCAAGTGGGCCGAGGCCGCGATGGAGCCTGTTCCAAGTCAAGGAGGATACCACACGAGGTGCCATTAACACCGTCTTGAGCCGCATCCAGAGTCCAGGCGCATGAGCTTCTTAAGCCAGGAGATTTGTGACCTCCGCTGAGATATTCGTTTACTTCAAGCGTTCTTGCTTAGCAACGTCCCGTCGAGTGCTGAATGCCGTCATCACATAGTCTTCCATTTTACACCAACGCTGATCCCTCTTTGAATTCCAATTGAGTGCATCGGCGAAAAACGATACGGTATTAATACGAAACAACGCAAAATGTTAGGTGATTCGTTACCGCCCCAACTAGCAATGTACTGACGCCATTCGGATTCGGCACTCGACAGGAGACTTACATCGGAACCACACTACAACGATCCTGCTACGAGAACGCCTCGGGCTCCGTGCCGACCTACGCCAGCCGTCGTGAAGTGCCGCGTCGTGTGGATTTAAAGTCTGTTGAAGGGATGCACGGGTATTGCGGTCCACAAGACAGCAAACTCTCCGTGACTGTTTCATAAATTCGATATCGATCCTTGACTGTGGAGATCTGATTGTCTTCGGCTTGCTCTAGTAAACTTTGGGTATTGTAAACTTCATGGGCCGGTCAAGGTCAGCCCGGGCGAGATCCCTTGCGCTTTGTCTGGGATAATAGTGTTGTAGTAAATAAGGCGTAATTGCTGGCTGGCAATTACGATTCCGTGTTTGTACACCAAGTATGATATTGTTAGTCATAATCCTGGACATCAACCTCATCTCACACATAGCAGAGTGATACTGAGCGAAACAGCAGCTATGTGCGCGTTCTTACATGTCTTGTAAGTTATCTGAGTTGCATCCTAATTATCTCCAATACCTTACCTTGACGTAATTTGAGCTACTATTCCCGCAAGCAAACAGCACGTCTCGTCCGGCTACCTTGCATATCGTCAGAGCATCTAACAGTGGTTTCATATCTGTGTAGATGTTGCCGAGGATACAATCGCAGAATCGCCTTCAACTTCAAGCATCAGACGTCAACCTCAAGAGTAGCGCCAAAGACCAGCAAGCGGCTGCTTTGGCCGGGGGTATTGTTTGCTCGCACTCGTTGGATCATCGGTAAAAACTACCGCAATGCTTGATTCCCATACAGTGACCGGGCTGAGACCTAGCCTGACCTGGAGATTTGATAGTGGTTCCATATAAGTAGTCATGGTTGAAGTATCACGTGGAAGTGTGAGAAGAAAGACACATGGGCTCAGTAAGACAGTGAGATGGTGTTGATTATATACATGTATGTACAGAAGAAAATGGGACCTCAGGGGTCGAAAAATGCCTATAGACAAGAAGTCCTCTTGGGAATTTGAAAATGATAACTGCATGTGTCCAAGCATTTAGCCAACAAGGAGCTATGGGACCTTTGATGTAGGGTGAGCATGCAGTTCGAACACGCCAAAGATGTATGTATCAGATTCATGCAGAAAGGCACTGGGAATACCACTCGTTGGTCTTGACACACTGGAAGCCGGAAACGCACGCTGTTGCGCCCGTGTAACCAGAGCCACCGCACTGAGCCCAAGCGCCAACGGTTGCTCCAGAGTTAGCTGGTTGAGTCGGGACGGCGGCGGCAGTGGTGGCGGCAGCGGCAGCGGGAGCAGAGCTCAGTGCCTTGGCGGTGGGCTTGGCGGACGCAGTGCTCGCGGGGGCAGCAGAGCCGGAGGAACCAGAGCTCGAGGTGCCGGACTGCCATCCACGTTCGCGGGAGAGCTCGTACCACCAGTTGCGGAGCATCCATCCGTCGAAGTCGGTGATCTGAGCGGCAGATCCAGCGAGCATAATGAAGCTGGTGACACCCGTCGGGGTCCAGTCTATATTAGGGTCAGCATTGACACGGACGATCATGTGTATGTTATGGTCTCATGTCGGCAAGCTGAGTTGTATGTGTCATCACGTACCGTAGACTGGAAAAAGAGGTTTGTCAGCAAAGTACTTGCAAGGAAAGTCATGGCAAATAATCAAACTCACAGTCATCAAGGCCATAGGTGTGTCCAATTTCGTGCTGGAGGATGTGGGCACTGGCAGAGTCAAGGGCGCCCATGAAGTACTCGCGACCAATACGCTGACCCCAGTCGCCGCCAGCACCACCGTTCATGCCATCGGTGAGCCAGAGAGACTGGTCGTAGTGCCGGTCAGCACCAGCCGCGCACTTGCTGTAGTCGCCATTCTGGTTGAAGAAACGACCGCAAGACTCAGCGCACTGGGGGATCCCTTCGGCGTCCTTGTCAGTGTAGACCTGGATGCCAGATGTAGAACCCTGAAGAAGGCTTTTGTCACGAACGGCCCAACCGACAACGTTGACCTTAATGTCGGTGTAAGGGAAGTTATCATAGCCATAAAGCCACTTGTACCAGCCTTGGTGGGCAGTGTTGAGGGCCTTGGCGACTTGAGTGCGCTGAGCCTCTGTGACAGAAGCACTCGATTCCCAGCGGACACAAACGTTGATGGTGCCCTTGGTGGCGATGACTTGATCCCAACCGTAGTTCTTGAAGCCGAAGAAATTAGAGTAGGTGCTCTTGCAGTGATCCCAGACCTCTTTGAGGGGAGTGACGATGTTGGAGGGAGGGCTCCAGCCGGATTGTCTCTTGATAGGACGGTTACGGGGCATATCCTCAAAAGTTCGGGCCTGAACGGGAGCGAGGGCCTGCCACACAGATCCGTCAAGGTCGGAAGTAGTTGAGATGTTCATAGCTTGGGAAGAGGCCGCAAGCGCCACAACGGCGGCAGATGTGGTAGAGAAGCGCATGGCGATGGATGAGAAAGAGAGAAAATTGACAATGTACTAAGAGAAAGAAGCGAATTTGGATCAAGAACGAATGACAAGACAATGAAGTTGGTACCAAGGACCTTGTGAAGCTGAAAATGGATGGACATAGGAGGAAAGTTTAGACGGGAAGCATCCGAAGATATACACAAACATCAACACCAGACTCCGTTAGTAAGTCATCATCGTATCAATCCAACCGAGAATTCCAAGACTCCACCTATTTACTGAGAATGTCGAATTGATTGCTAATTCGTGTATCTGCCGTGTTGGCGGGCATGGCCAAGACTTTCAACGTTCCCATTTGCTTTTCCTTGTGTCCTCGGAGCACTAAGGCCTCCGTAGTCAGAATCAAATGCGGTTGTTCCGCCTAAATTCATTGGCGGGAGAATAAGTCAGCGGGGACTGAGTGACGATGGAAGATTAAGGACCGCTTCCAGGGTGGCGTTGGGTGCCCAAGTTGGGGAACAAATCCTACGGTGTAAAGAGGGGCTTACTGGAAGTCCTTCCTTTCTCGAATGGCTGGCCGGAGATAAATAGCGCCAAGCCTGAGTGAGCAATTCTGGTGTGACATGCGGGTTCTGAATAGAGCACACAAGACTTGAGAAATCCGGGGAAGGGCAAACATGCATGAGGTGCCAAGGGGACGTTCAGTATCCCTAAAAGGCTGAGGTATCTGCCGTGAGGTGTTGTTGGCATATTTTGAAGGGCTCAAGACTAGCTCGTGGACGGCTTTGTGTTACATTTACCCGCGGATCTTGGGGTCGTCCAAACTGTCCCCAAGATCCGATGTTTACACTAACGGGCACAGAGGATGTTCTGTGTTTTCGGGTCGATCATCCGACCAAGAAAACAGACGACTGCCAGGACTCAGCTGTCTGGACTCCAATTAGAGGGGAGAAGGGCAGAAAAACAGTCCATAGACGACTCAGAAGGGGCGGAGAGCAGTTTCAACCCCATCGAAAACGAGTAATGGTGAAACAGATGATTAGAATTTGCGGGACTGACATCCACAAACCTGGTAGTTCCCTGGTCATTGCTTTTTAGTCACGTTACATAAACCAAGCGTGCCGGCATGGAGTCCCATCTTGGCAGCTCCATGGCCGAATTTGGATGGAACTCGGCGGTCGAGCGATTCCAGGCTCTTGGCGTCAACATGGTTTCCTCTTCATTGCACGATCCGCTTGGCCCAAGCAGACCAAGACTTACTATCAACGCCCATTCGTACATGTACATTATTTCGCTCTCTATGCCCAGTTGTGGTAGTAATATCCATCGGAAATGTTGCAATGTATTTGTACGATTTTGGAAAAGTGGATGGCCTCTGCGATACAGGTTCCGACGCACGAATTGATGCTGATAATCGTCTCTGTACTTGATAGGGCTGACTTTGTGCGCAACTCTCGGAATTCCCAGCACCATCGGCATCTTAGCTGGGTTGGAAAAACAGATTGAACAATCTTGATGCTCTGCAGCCATGCAGTAGTAGTAGTCAATCAGCCTCATGAACTCTATTCCGTCCGACGTCCATTAGGTAGTTGGAAATCCACGTGTGGTCTTACAATTAAGCATAATGCTTGACATTTTCCCGACCAGACTTCCACGCATCAGCTCTCGTTAAAGTTAGGCTTCTCCATTGAATCCGGAATCCGAATGCCCCACATCGACTGCATTTAATCTACACTAGTGTACTCCGTAATAATGATCAAACTTGAAAGTCAAGGGGTTTCCCCTTTTGAGGGCAGGAATCATTGCCTCTGTACCAATCACAATTGCACGTAAACGGGAACTCCCCGGGCTTAGAGGCGGGGATTCTTGAAAGGATACGAGATGCATGGGTCGAGACCCGGGAAAACCTCAATGGAATACGGATACATTTCCCGTGTATTATCTCCAACACCCCGTCTCGACCTTTTAAGAGTAAACGAAGGAAATTGATCACTTTCATCGGAGCAAGACAACGCCACCAATGCATGACCTGAGTCTTCTGAATCTTCTTAAAGACGTTAGAGACTCCGGCATTTTCTCCTGATTGCCTGCTTAAATAAGCTTCTGCAAGGAATTCAGCCATCCGCGCTGTCGATACAATAGCCAGATTGCAAAGCCACGGACGCACCAGACACTAGATGGGAACAACTGCACCCGTGAGGTTTTCCATGTGCAAGGGTCGATGGGATCAGTGCAATCGGTGATGGTCTGCTCAAAGCTGGTCACAATGAGTAGTGTCCATCCTAACCGTGCATCCCAGTCCACGCTTGCTACAAGCCTATATAGATATCCTCATTCTGTTGATACTGACTACTGCGCAGCGTCGGCTGACAAAATTAGTCAATAAGGGTATGCTACGGCCCAATAAAGAATCTGCAGAGGGCCTGAACCGATCAGGTGACGATAACTTCGACCTAACAGAGACTTCTCCCGTTGTTGCGTGCAGAGCGGCAAACAGGTCCTAAACGCGGTTGGTTTCGAGGTGGCTGCGAGTGTTTCCGACTGAGCTGAGTCAAGTCCTGGCATCAGGCACGAAAGAAGAGGAGCAGAGTTACGAACAAGGCATAAGCTTCGAAGTGCCTTCGGTTGATTGCGCTTGATCGACTCTTATTTCTCGGCTCACACAAAATTCGGCGACTTGTAAAGTTCAATTACTGTCGCAATCGACGCTCGGTCGTTGTGTCAAGGGCAGTTTTCCTGTTCTCGCGATTCCTGGCAATTCTCGATTGCCATTCACGATGAGGAGTGAACACGATAAGGGTTCCAGTTGGCTGCGACGTCGGTGACGGGGATGCGGTTTCGTCATTGTTCTCATTTTGTGCCTAAAATGTCTCCTGTGCATCATCTCATGACATGCCGTCCGATTCTTGCAGGGAAACCCCAATAACTTGCAAGGTATGTCGATCTTATAGTCCAATCATGTTGATGTTCTTGTGATTGATGTGCCATATGCTTGGTTCTTCAAGGTCCAACCTCAAACACTCCCGTCTGATTTCAAACCATCCGAAGAGCCGGAGGCACTATGTTGATCGCCATTTGCTTCAGAATAAGGTAGACTGAGCTTCCATCGTCTTCCAATTAGTGAGTCACGATATGACTACATATTACAAAAGAGATTGATTCGTCGAATACTGCCAGAGTGATGTGGTTCTAATTACCCTAATATCTTTATTCTCATCATTGAGTTGAACTCAGTTTGTTCTCAAGGTTCTGTGAACCCCGTTTCAACATCATCCGCTCCGCGCAGCAACTCCAGGGACTATCTTTTTTCTCAAGAAGCTGAACCATTTCTACATTTCCACCATCGCTCCAACTCATTGAAATTTCGGGAAGAAGTGTCAATAATAGTCTAACGACCTGCAACATGCGACCCACCAAGGCTCTTTTTGTACTATTCGGCGCATCTAGCGCATCGGCTGCCACCATTCGGCGACAGGCTGACGGTATTGATTTCGGCAAATGCACGCCAACAATGGATTTTCAACTGGGCCGCACTGGGCGCAAGCCGGATCAAGGCACCTTCTTGCCAACTGACCCTCTCGTAGCCAAGGATCAACAAGACGCGCTGAATCCAAACATTATCACGAACCGAATTTGCGATCAGCTCACCAACGTATGTGAGGCGACTCAGGCTGCAAAAGACCAGTGTCAGCAGGCTAAGGCTCAGGTCTCTGCGGCAGGCGTCAGAGATGCTTCTGCTGCGACCATGTTCAACAGTGCCATGGGTTTCTAGGGAGGAAAGCCAATAGTCTAATTACTTCGTTGGGGGTTGCAGGATGAACTGGAAAGCTGTGTTGTATTCTGACCCCCCACTCGCCTACATTTCGAGTCCCAGAGTCAGGTCGAATGGCTCGGCTGAACAGTCCGTAACACATTGTATGCAATTCGGCGCCAGTTCAAATGTTCTAAATGCAGAAGTTTGGGTGCGGATCTCACACGGAGAGAGCGGATGCAAGGGAAAGCACCATTGGACATAGGTGTGACTTGATAAAGGAAACGAATCAAACTATTACCTGCATATACGGTCAAGCCCTCCAAACCCAGGAATCAGTTATCTAAGGCCTCAGTGTGTGAAGATATTGACAAAAGTACAAAGGTAAGTATTTTTGCCTTTCGAGTGTGACTCAGCTTGTTCGAGGACATGGGGTTGATGTTTCGTCCGCGAGATCAAAATCTTGGCTCTTTTAAGCCTATGATATTTCTATTAATCAGACGAACCAAGTTTAAGAGGAGCGATCTGCGTTGAAAATGCTATCCTCAAAGATTTCATTTGACAGAAGTCTTAGTCCAAGGCGAAGCATCCTACTATTGCCGTAAGTTGAAGTATGGTTAACCGAGGATAAAACGCAGGAAACCCTTACTTATTTATTGGAAAGCGAGGATCATGAAATCTCCCCAAAACAGTAGTATTCCATTGTTTGTGGTGGTACATGATCTCCAAGCTATTCCATCTGATACTTTTGCCAAAGGTCATGGGCTCAGTGCTGTGTGGATTTGTGAGGCATGCAGACGTGTACGTTATTTCTGCAGTTGTCGTCGGGGCGCGATGCTAGGACCTTCCACCTAGTACATCAAGGCGAGTCTGGGCGAGTTTGCAATTAGCTGCCTGGTCAGAAAATTAGACCAGATAGGAGAGTATCGAAGTGAGGAGAGAGCTTCAAGAGGAGAATGGGAAGGACAACGGTTCCAGAGGACTCACGAGATTTGAGGGCGGTGAATGCACATCAGTGTTGGTGCCAACGTTTTTATCCACCATCCGACATTCATTTCATTGGAAAGCCCCAAGCTGGTCCAAACTGGTGGAAACCCATCAGCAAAGCGCTAGAGACTCATAATTGTTCGGTCGCATTCATTAGAAGTCCAGTGGCTGCCTGGACGGGACATGCTCGTCACCCCGCCAAACCCCGCGCACTTCGTGTGGACCAGACAAAAAGTATTGAACGAGACAACGGGCAAAACAGTTCCCGGACTTCTAGCCACGGCGCTAATGCCTTTGCTTGCCGAATTATTACATTCTTCAATGCTCAAACTGTTCATGCCAGATGCTAAGAACATAATTGGAACTGGGACCGTCATGATCAATGATTCACAACACCATACAGGGACGATATGACGAGCAACCCATCGTAGAACGCGACATGATAGGCTTATTTGTTGCTCATGGCTCCGAGAAGGAAGCCGCGGAAGGAGAAGCACTAGACCAGTAGGATCTTCTACGATGCTGTTCTTGATCATGTTTCCTCACGTAAAGTAGTATACGCTCACTTGCAGGCCGAAATAGACACAGGCATCATCATCGCCCGCTCCTGATAATTGAAGCAAGAAAGCCTTGGTATCTCTAGGCACTCATTAGGAAAGGCTACAGTTTATGGCCGCCCGCGACAGCTTTGCTGCCCAAGGTCTCCGAACAAGACGAGGTGTGTGTGGGATTCACGTTTCCCCAGAAACCAACGTCGTATGGGCACTTTGGACCATTACGAGAAGCAAGAAGGTCCTTGGATAGGACGTAGGTCTTTGGCCTAATCTGGTGAGTTGCTATTCCTGCAGAGAGATGGCGGCTGAGATGTTAGGCCAGCAGGTTACAATGGGGAAGTCGATATGAGTGTTTGAGCAAAACCATCGCCAGAATTGAGTTGAACAAAGTTATTGTTCAGGTGAGTCTGGCTAGACCATTCTTCGAGTCTTTCCTGTTCAACTTGACAAGGGCGAGCGCTTTAATTACCAACTGGACTTGGTTTCATCAATCATAGTTGATGTCCTGGAAGTTGGAATTACCCTTCTTGGACCCTACAGACTGTTGGGATTCTTCGGACGTACCATTCTTTATTCAAAGCGACTTGTATGTGAGGGTTGCACGACGACCCTAGATCGCCCAAAGATGAATCTGTTGAGGCTGGTAACATCAGAAAGTGACTTTACCGTTGGGTGCGTTAATGGTCCGAGCAATCAACATTCAAGGATCGCGAGAAGGTATTCCAATGAGTAAGGTTTCAATACTCTTGCAACATGTACTGGAAGAAACCGCACCTGTGGTTTTGGCCCCTGATACACATTCCAGTACCTGTCATCAAGAAGCTTCCACAACGGCCAGTATCATACTAGCCAGTATTGTTACTTAACAACTGAGCAGAACGTTAGGGGCTCTTGACTCAAACATCAAGCCAAGGTTTACGCTGTGTCCACCTGCGAGTGTCACATGTCTCTTCATAGGTGCCAGCCGTAACTTTTGGCGCCCTAGGGCGTGAAGTCCATAGATTTTGCGCTTATCAATCTCCACGCGTAAGAGGCTCTCACTCAGGTAAGCAGGGCAAATAGAGAACTTTTGACATGACTGTGCATGCCATCTTTCCTCCCCTTGCACGTCATGCCATGTCGATAGCATGCCGAACTCCCCACGCTCATTGCCCAATGGGACTCACCCCAGACTCATGCCCCAAGTCACCGGTGGCCAGGACGGTGAAGTCGCTTTGACATATCAGGGAGGCCTTATATCCGCACAAGCTATGAATGCTGCCACAGAGCAAGTAACCTTGAATCACCCTCAGCCCAATGCGCTGGACAGACTCGCAAGAAGTCAACCCGCGACAGGCGGAGCTTTCGGGCCGCTCTTTCTGACTGCAGGGTCGGATCTGGACCCCGGATGCGCTCCGCTGAATGATAACCTCCCGACTGACACCTCTGGCCAGATTTGGCCTTCGATGTTTTCCACGGCTGATAGCGATCCCCAAGAGACACCGATATCCTGAATATATGATGGAAGCAGTGAGGCGGTGGATCCGAGTTATGCGCTTGGCGATATTTCGTGATCTCTGCAGTCTCCGGCTACGACGTCAAACCACATTAACTGGCCGATCCCCTCCAATGATGAGCTTGTTGGCCAAACTGTGTTCAACACCAATAAAGGCCTACCAAGAAGACGGAGTCGTTATCGATTTGTGCATTCCTAGAAGCAGGCCAATCCAGTACCAATTCCTGTATCTACAAGCGTTGGGGAATTGAGTCCTATGCAGCGGTGGAGGAAGTCTCCCCCGCAAGATGAACCAGCCTCCATCACTGCCATACATGACGCGCTGGAGAATAGTACTGCTCGCCTCGACGTCAGTCGAACACCGAATGTTGCTGATTATGCCCGCACTGAATCCAAAGCCAGCTTGGGCAGTGGCGAGAGCAGTTCATCTATACAGTCGGCAAACTCAGTGTGGTCAGCAGCATCAGACACGTCAAGAGGTCGACAGAACGAATCAAGTTTACTTGATCGCACCGGGCGGGGAAGAGTGTCTAAGAAACGCGCAGCCGCCGCTTCCAAGAAAGACGATCGCCCCTTCAAATGCACATTCTGCTGCGATAGCTTCAAGACTAAGTATGATTGGGCTCGGCACGAGAAATCGAGGCACCTTAACCTGGAGTCGTGGATTTGCGCACCGCGGGGAGGTTCGGTCATGTCTACAGTGACTGGCAGACCTCATTGTGCGTACTGCAGCGAGGTAGACCCGTCAGAAGAACATCTTGATGGTCACAACCATAAAGCATGCTACGACCGACCGATAGAAGCACGATCATTTGGAAGGAAAGACCATCTTGTTCAACACCTCCGCATTATGCACAAACTAGACATAATGCCTCGATTCGATGGATGGAAGGCTGAAGCTGTGCGGATCTCTTCTCGATGCGGGTTCTGTGACGTGGAGTTCATGACCTGGAACAAACTCGTTGACCATCTCGCCAACCACTTTCGCCATGGTGCAATGATGAAAGACTGGAAGGGAGAACACGGATTCAGTCCAACAATTGCGCAGCAGGTCGCGCATGCCCTGCCTCCCTACCTCATAGGTTCAGAGTCGCTGAGTGTTGTCCCATTCTCAGTCACGAATCAGAGCACCAGAGACCATTTTGCTCAGATATCGTCTCGTACACTTGAGTCACAACAAGAAAATGGAAAGAAGACCGCTGCAATAGATACTGCGACGTCTTTACTGTCAGAATCAATCCTCAGATCCAGGGCAGCAACGTCAAAAGCTTTCACAGAGATCCTGGAGCAACATTTGAGGCATTTTGTAAAGGAGCACCTCTCTCAAGGGTTCGACATCACAGACGAAATGCTTAGACAAGAGTCGAGGCGTGTGATTTACGACTGCGACGACGAATGGAATCAGACTGTTGCAGACAATCCCGAATGGCTAGAAAAATTCCGTCAGCGCCATGCTATTGGCTGCGGTGGTGGTGGTGACACTGCCGCCGAGGAAACTCTTGGATTATCAAAAAGCACTTGAGAAAGAATTTGATATTTCGTGTCTCTACAGAAAAAATACAAGTATCCCGCACATTCATCGCTCACTTTCATGCTTGTATGTCTTTGTCAATGATTCTCATGGCGTTTAAACACTCTTCATCATAAAATCGAGGAGCAATGACTTGAAGCGAACACGGGGCGCCGTCGGTTGCTTCTGGATCATCTGTGTTCGGTTTAGCACCAGGCACGAGAAGAACAGCAAAATTAGAACGCACAGTACTTACAGTCCGCTTCAAAATTTGAGGCCGCTTTCTGGTAGTTGGGATCTCTCGTCTTGGAGGATACCCCATATGGTATTATCCCTGCTGGATACTGCCCCCCCACAGTTAGTTGAATTGTTGGCTGCAGAGAGGTGATTGCACTGGCTTACGTCTAACACATTCCACATCAAGGTGTAGACAGGGATGCCATAGGTATCGTGGGGGACCGCGGTGCTGATTGCTCCGGGGCCGACGACAACATCGAGGTGATACTCGGTCCAAATGTTCTTCCAGCTGTTGGCATAAGAAGCCTGTAAGCCAAGGAACTCATCCAGTTGGTGTACTGTGTCCAGCTCCGTTGAAATAAGAGGCTTTGAAGTTGTGAAAGGATGAACGCCTCGTTTCACTGAATGTACCAGTGGTTCACCAATCTCACTCGCCAGGGCATCCAGACCGGAAGATCCTAGCCCGAAGTAATGGAATCCCAGCTTTCCACCAACACTGGCACTGCAAGCGGGGTTTGCTGGTAATTTGACGATACTGTGCCCTGCGCCAGTCAATTTTGAGACTGCGTCTTGAAGCGCTCGTCGAACAGGCGGCTGCAAGGGATATTCCGGATCTTCGGGAAGGATACCGATGGTCAGGGTCTTGTTGCTTCCATAGGAGCTTCTCCAGGGGGCGTTGACTGCAGATGCGTCATAATGCCAAGGCCGACGACCGATCACTGTTTCCATAAACAAACTGAGATCATCAACTGAATTTGCCATCGGCCCAGCGACAGGGGTGACTCCAGGAAGCTGGAGTTTGCGGAAGGGATAGTTAGCTTGCCCTCCAAACGGCGTTCGATCCGCTGTGGGCTTGAAGCCATAAATGCCGCAACAAAGTGAGGGGATCCGGATTGATCCTGCAATATCGGAGCCAACGCCCAATACTGAGCCTCTGAATGCTACAAGAGCTCCCTCACCACCGGTTGAACCGCCGGCGGTAAGAATCGTCTTGTGTGGATTCAAAGTTCGACCGAAAATGTTGTTCTCCGAGTCGGCAGTCTATTTAACTCTCGTCAATATACACTCGACCAAAACTTTTGATCGATGCAGATCAGCAGGTCACGAACCATCATGGTCTGCGGAACGTTCGTTTTACAGAATAGGACGGCTCCAGCGTCCACTAGGAGATCGACCATCGCCGAGTTAGAAGTAGGCAGTGGCCTTTTCAAAAACTCGACATAACCGACAGTAGCGTAATGACCTCTAACGACGAAAGAATCCTAAATTCAGCAGTTCTACAGGCCGAACAGGCGGACAAGTTTTCCGGATGGGGATACCTTGAGGCTAATTGGTAGGCCGTGCAGTGGCCCTACGAGCTCTCCAGTACGCTCTAGGTGCTGGTCAAGTTCTCGAGCCCTCTTGATTCCTTCATCGAAGAATATTTCAGTTAAGCAAGAAGTCTAGAAGATGTCAGTACATGTGATTCGGCGTTCGGGAGCTCGGCCACAACCTACGGTGACGGAGCGGGATGGAAATGTCCTTACAAGCTGTTGAGCGAGAGCAGCGCGCCTGCAAAACGCCACTGCCACTTCTTCCGATGTGAGTTTCTTGTGATGAATCTTGTCGAGCAACTCTCGCGCGTTGTAGCACTCTGTGATGTCGAGTTCCTTTCCCGTCAATAACGCTGATTTCCGAGCAACATCTTGGGCTATTAGTCGACCTTCTTCGGCAGTTCCCTTGCCTCGAAGCTTGGCTAGCTGATCATCAGAGATTCTCCATTCCTGAGGTATGTTCCGCTGTTGCTCCAACCGGTGACGAGAAGCAATCGCTTCCCATTCCATTGCCGCGGGCATTGATACTACGCCTTATAGGTTCAGAAGGTATCGTGGAAGAAAGAAGTTTCATAGGTTGCATGCGCTATTGTTTTGATTTGGATGCGATAGTCGAGTAGACCGAGGGCAAGAGACAGAGGAGAAAACTGGACTGTGTTGTCTTCTTTTCAACCCCAATGCACCTTGATGCTAGAAACGTCGCCGGAATTGCGGACGATGGCACGCATCCCGGGCGGCTTGTTGGCGCGTCCAATGGCCCAATAGGGAAGGAGATGCCGCCAGATCTTGGCTGGCAGAGTTGCCGATGCCGTCGGCTGCCGGGAGTCAAAAGACTGATGCGTACTTAGGCTTATAATTCTGAGGAGTCGGCATCTGCGCTCGGGAGATGGATGGGTGACAGCTCTTTCGACTCTGCAACAATTGCGTAACAAACCCCCTCTTATCAGCCTGCGAATACATTGATTGTGAAGAACTATTTAAAACTCCGCCTCGAGCATTCGGCACATGTCCCAGCACGTCGTGCCAATACCAAAAGCCATTCACAGTTCGACTCTCCATCTACTTACTTCGATCCAGGATACATTCGGCAGGTCGACCCGCGCTCAACTTACATCCTAGTCATGGCACCCGCGAGAAGCTCCGATCATGCCCCCTCCCCCGGAAACGCCTTCTCGCCAAGTGGAGTCGCTGTGCCACCCATGCGCATGCCACATCTGGACTTCATCTATCGTATCGTCTGCGATATGGACCCCAACGTGTCCGAAATTGCAAACGTTGATAACACGGGCGTCACTCGTCTTGTTCTGCCTATCTTGAGCGGGTCAGTCAAAGGCCCTAGGATCACAGGCAAGATTGTGGAGAGAAGTGGTGCAGATTGGGCCGAGCGCATTAGGCCTGACAAGGTTAGCACGGTGTAAACAAGTCACCCATGAAGGGAAGTTCATACGGCTTACCGCTCTCTAGGCGTTCTCAAGGTTGCATGCCATGTATACTCTCCAGACTGATGATGGTGTCTTCATCCTCGTCAACGCCCAGGGCGTTTTCCGCACTGGCCCTGGTCGAACAGACAAATCGCCTCGATCTTCAATCAGTCAGGATGACGTTGAGTATTTCACGCACATTAGGTTTGAAGCACCAGGGGGAAGCCCTTACGACTGGATGAACGCTGTGGTAGCACTCGGGGTAATGACCATGTTTGAGGGGCGCCCTATCATCGACTGCTATCGACTCACAAACTTCCCTGGCGTAGCGGCAGAAAAGCTTTGACCTGGATAGTGTGCAGAATTGTAGATCTGGCCACTAGATGTAGGTATCCAGCAAACAGACAAAGACTTCGACATATCTCATAGCCGCATGTGTAAATGTAGTGAGACACCAGGTCAACCACGACGAGCCCAGCCAAGTTGAACAATTTAAAACGCAGAAGTATTCTGTAAAGACTAGAAAGACGGAATCTGAATTCTTGCCATACTCGGGAGTGGTGCCAAAGTTCTTACATACAAGCAAACCTCTGGTCAGGCTGGCAAAATAAGATACCCGTACTCAGCACACTAAATCTGCATGCGCCTCTCCACAAGTCGCAAGTATCGGGGAGCCAGAATGGTGCGAATGCGCTTGCCCCAGATGATCATAGGAGCATACAAAAGACCGATGAGAAGAGAGATAACCCCACTCAGAATGTACATATTGGTAAGGCCCATGTTTGACATCCAGGGCACAAGCGCCGAAGGGACACCTACGCTGACAGCATTACGGACAAACGCGACACCAACAAAGGCTTCGGCAGTCAGCTGTGGAACCATATGTTAGTCAAAGTCATTGTATCGAATATTGATGCATTCACCTCTCGATAAGTATCAATAACAAATGTAAAGGTGATGTCTCCATTTGCACCAAGGCCAAATGCGAATAGTGCGCCGCCGATGCTAGGGAAGATCCAATGCATTCCCTAGAGCTGTTAGTTTAACCAGTCGATGGAGCAAAAGAAGACATGTGGCGCAAAGGTGACTTACTCGATCCGCGGTGACTCCAAACATGACAATACCACCAGCCATCGTGATCACGGGTAGAAATAAGGGATACAGTCGCATTTCCGGCTCGAAAACGCCCCCATTCCTCTTAGCCAAGCGCAAAACAGTCCAGTCTGCTAAAGGTCCGCCGTAAATACTGCCGAAAATGTTTCCAACAAAAGGTCCGAGGTTCATATATCCGATTGCTGCAGTATTGAAATTGTAGGGGGGCGCAGAAAAGACGACGGATACAACCGACATGAACAGTACTAGCCAGCAAACACCGGATGCAAACTGAAGAGCAGTGAACATGACGTGTGGAAGAGTAATGACATGAAGTGGCAAGATGAAAACTCGCAGTAAGGATTCCGAGGTTGGTGTCAATAATCGCATGCGATCGCGGTAAGAATTCAGTGGGACATTCGTAGCGGGATTGGACCGCATGTAGTTCAGCTCCAGACCGCCTTTATCAAGGCTTCTGACTTTTGCCATATCATTCCCGCCAATCGGTGAGTTGTCGTCTGTAAGGTCGCTTTCGCCGAGGCTTATGGGAATATATTTGGTCTCTTCATACAAGAAAACAAACATGAAGAAGAGAACTGTCAGAGAGATAGAGAGGGCGTAGTATGACCAGCGCCATCCCTGAGTCACGGCTTGGGAGCCGGCAGCCAAAGGCGTCAAAAAGCTTCCTGCCATTACGGCAGTAAAATAGAGACCGTTGGCAGAACCTCGCTGGTGAACGAAGAAAATATCGGCAATCTGTTGCAGGAAAGAATCATTAGCGAAAAGGCGAGATAAGACCAGGGGATTTTGATAAGTATTACAGTCATTTGCACCGCGGTCTCGTTTATAGCGCCAGCTAGTCCCGTGATTACAGCTGTGGCAATAAGTTCTGCGTATGAATGCATAGAAGATGTCCACCACGCTGCTGCAGCAAGAATCGCTGTGGAAACTAAGTACGTTAAGCGACGACCATACTTGATTGTGAACGGAATGAAGAAAATGCAGCCTGTGGCAAGTCCTGCAAGCTGAGCGGACTGCGCGTTGCTGAGTTGGTTGATAGACACATCGAGATCAACGGTCATCTGTTGCCAGAAGACGGTTTGGATCGAGAGGCTATGGAGGAAAGCAAACAAATCGTCAGCCGGGGAGTTGGTCCGCGAAGGGCAACAGATGGATTGGAAAACCGATGTGGCTCTAACGTACTTGGTGAAAGCGGCCACGGTGACGCCCATGGCAAGACTGTAGTTAAGATACTTTCTCCATTTGCTCCAGTTCTATTTCACGCATTCAAAGAGTAAGAAGATGTCATTACCGGAGCATCACAAACAGCAGAATCCGTACCAGTGGGTCGTTCGGGTCTGACGATGGAGTTGGGGATAGAACAAATATTGGGGACTCTGTAGCGTCCTCATCTGGGGTAGAACGCAGACGTCAGCACAGGACTTCAAAGACTTCGAGTAAGAGGCATACAATTGAGCAAGTGAACTGTTCCCGGAGGAAGGGGTGTATGTTGAGCCATTGTCACTGCTGGGACGTCCATCGGGAACTCTCTACCACAGCGTTGAGGCGAGAGCAGAAGGAGACACAAACAATAGTGGGCTTATGGGCTAGATGTGGTGAGGTGCTGTTGCGTTTAGGAACCAGCCTAGAATATTGTCGCATTTGATGCAGACACAGCAATGAGTCGAGCAGGCAACGGGCATTTAATATAAAATACCAAGGTAAGTTGACCTTCTCAGGAGACTTCTATTTCGGCCTGGGTACTACTCGAAGTTGTGTGACAGCTGGGATTTTGGTGTGTGCCACGATAAGCCACGCGCCCAGGTTAACCCTTTTCAGTCATAGGAGACTGAAGCACCTGCACCACATTTAGATCAGGATGATAATCTTCGAGAGCCCCGGTCGTAATCGAAGACGATGAAGACCATGGCGAGAATGACCAATGCCGTTGTGATAACAGGACTGGGGACTTGATTACAGTCCCTGTGAGTGTACACTAACCAGCAAGTCTGACGAGGTCTTGACGCCATGTACTGGCAAGTCCCTGCTGGACCCTCATCCCTTTCTTTCCGAGGGCATTCCGCATGGATAACAGAGAACTCTATTTGTCTTAGCGGCCTCGCCCCCGCATTTATGAAGCTGCAACATGATTGCTTGGACCCCAGAATCGAGCGTCTGAACCATGCCCTATTCGGCATATATATGCGCTCGCGGCCCCGTCTGCCTTTCTTGGGAAGTTGAAATCTCAATTCTTCATTCATCGTCGGCAAAGTCGGCCATTTCGAGAACTCCGCTGAGCAGTCAATTGCAAGGCTTGAACAGATAACGATTACGCTGACCTCACTCGACAGCCATCAGTAGGTTATCGATGGGTCGCTCTAGGGGAGGATGCTCCAATTGTAAGAGGCGGAAACGGAAATGCGACGAGACGCGTCCAGATTGCCGAGCATGCCAAAGGCGTGGCATCCAGTGCGAGGGCTATAACACCACACTCAAGTGGACCAACGGAATAGCCTCGCGGGGTCGATTTGCTGGGGCCGCAATCCCTGACCTTGCTGCGAACAAAGCGAGCGCCAACTCAACTACTTTTGATAGCTATCTGCCGAACGCTGAAGATCCACTACACCACACTGGATCATCCTCAGCATCTCCCGGGGCCGATACACCGAAGCTGTCCGGGGCCGCTCAAGAATCAGATACACCGGGGTCACACTCTGAAATCTCATATTTGGCACCATCGCCCGGCGGCACCAATGACCCGAAACGGCAGCTTTTCCAGAAATGTAAGTCATTCGCCGCTTGGCTCTGTCACGTATAGGTATTCGAGTACTGACCATGTCGCAAGTTCTCAACGCGGGGATGCACCGACTCTACACCACTGAGAGCTCTGGTTGGATGAAATCTCACTTTGTCTCAATGGCAGAGAAAAGCCAAGCATTTGCTATCGTCTGTGGTGCTATCCAAGCATACCTAGACGACGGTTTCTCAGTCTCGTCAATGGAATACGTCGATCACGCGCTCCAAACTTTCCGATCGGAATTAGAAAGCCGACACAACTCCTTCGATGGATCCACCGTCTCTGCTGGCCTGCTTCTCTGTAGTCTATGTGTAAGTCTCGAAAAAGCATAGCATCGCCGTATGCGAATCGGCTACCCATATCTCACGCGTACAAACGTCTCGAATCTGATATTTCTTACTAACTCACAGCCTTTATGTAGCTGCTTCAAGCTCGCCCTTGGACGATGTATCTTCAGCTCATGGCCGGCCTGTACCATTTAGAGACGAATCTGAGTCATCTGCTGCCCTCAGCCGACCATGAGTTCACCATCCGGCACTCCATCGAAGTCTTGTCTATCATGGACATGGATATCATGGTGATTGGTCGAATAACACCGAGCATGAATGTTTGGCGCCACCTACGAAAAGTCCAAGATTCTTGGAAAGGCGGTAGGCTCGGTGGGGTAGAGACCGTATCGGGACTGCCCAGATCGCTGCTAGATATTCTCGCTGATATGAGGGAGAGCAGCGCGAGTGACATAGAATCCCAGCTCTGGACTTGGCCGGGAGAGATTGGTGAGCATGCCCAATGCATGCTTTGGGACTGCTGGCGGTATACAGCGGTCTTACATGTGAGGCGATTATACCGATCTAGAAGAAAGTTGGCATCATCCGATGATGAGAACCGGCCGGGACCTCACTCAGGTGACATGACATCATTCCCGTCAAGAGAAGTCGTCATGTGTCGTTTGGCGGCATCGGTTTACGCACTATACAGGGCAGTTGAAATGCCTGCCAACCACCACCTTCTGGTTCACAACGGGCTCATGTATCCTTTAGTGATAGGCAGCCTCGAAGTCCCCATCCTAAATGCTCATCCAGAGTGGAAGCAGGTTTTCGACGATGTGCGGTCATCGTTCTTGAGGAAAGACTCATTTCGGCTCATAAATATAGTTGACGAGGTTCTTGAAGAAGCATCCAGGGAGGGAACTGATACATTTGACATAGAAGAAGCTGCTAAGGCTCGAGGTGTTGAGATCGCAGTCTTTTAACCTGTTGAGGATAGCGGTCCGGGAATAGGAAGAAAATTGCTCAAACGCCTGAGTTCGTCTGTCTAAACTTTGCTGCCCTACACACGCACTTGTGCAGTGATTTGCCTGTCGCTTCTCGTTCATCCGTTTGAGACATCAAGACTGGAGTTGGGTGGTATGATGGGCGCAGACAAGATATCTCGGAAAGATAGGTGGAACATAAATGACATCCAGGTTTTTGCCTCGTGATAACCCAATCTTCTCAGAATACTCGAGCTGTACAAGAATACGGTCATTGACGAACTCAGTTCCCTGCCCGCACATGATATGGTGACCTGAGCGATGAAGAGTAGTGATGACAAGAAGGCCAGGCCGATGCACTCGGACATCTCGAAGTGCCTTTCCGATGGAAATTAGTTGGGTTCGAGGTTGCAGGCAGTTAAAGTCGGTCTCTAGAATAGTTTAGTGATTCAAATTGAGAAAGCGTTGATTAATTCTATACGTGCTGTGGGTGCTAGTGCCTTGATGAGATACGTCGTCTCTGAGAACGGCGTATGTTGTGCCGTCCGCAAGAACAAGTCTAACTCATAACTCAAGACTTTCATGTCCTGACCGTGGATGAACGAAGTCCCCAGGTATGTGATGTCGCGACTTGATTTGTCTCCTTCTAACGTCACTCGTGTTGCGGATCGAAGTCTCAAGAAGGAGGTAATGAGTACTAGGAACCTTAAATCTACGAAGGATGACTTCCGGCATCTGTTAAGTGAATCCACGATACCGTAGGTACATCAAGTAACGCAAAGCGAATCTCTAATCCCAAAGCAATAAAGAAGTCATAGTTGAAATTCTCAAAGCAGGTCTTACTCAATCCTCATATTTCAATCAGCCTAAGGTATTTACGAGAGGCAATGTTTTACGCATTTCCTTGAATATTTACCGATTAACGTGGGCCTTGAAGACTGCAGACCTGCTTATATATACGTGGGTATAACTGCATACCATGTGAAATATCAAAGTTGAACTTCAAGGGATTCTAGTTTTGTGCGGAAAATCTGATTCACTTGAGTCCTATCTATGCGCTGGCGATCCCATTTGGCCCCGCGATCAGCTACGAATATTGTTTCAAACATGTGAGTTTCATCTCTCCCTTGAAAATGGAAGCCAGAACTCGTGCGAGTTCAATGCATCATCGTCATTGTCTTAGTCGAAACAATGTTTCTTGACTTTCCTCGTCGCTTTTTAGCAAGCAGCACATGGGGTCGTCATTCTACCTGGTCGGATTTCTAGGGTACCTTTTAATATGGCGAGAAATCCTCGCAAATGTAATTAGCATACGCACGTTCCAAGACGCTCAGAAATTACGAAATCCAAGTATTTTGCTGCATGTATCGATACAGTTCGAATTGAATTTCATCTGAGTCACATGTGTGAAAGTACGTTGATGAGTCTATCTGTCTGCACACAATGTGCTCACAGCGTTACGACTATGATTTTCATACACATTAGTACTTCACACCTGAAGATGAGCGATGTCGCAGTCAGTCAGTCCTACAGGATGCGAGGATCTTGCAAGGGAGAGTTTAACATCAGCTCATGCAGATCAACGAAACTGAGACCTGCCTGCCTACGAGATAGCAAAGCCTTCGCTCGCTGTTTGCAAGACTGGCTTCGTCGATCAGTTTGGCGTACTGGCAACTACATGCCGCACTCCAGCTTGGCGGTCGATGACTGCAGGGAGAAGTCCTGAGTAGTTCAGTGTTGTGTTTTAGTGTAATGCAGGTGGAGAATTATGAATCCAACGGGCAACATCAATCACACACCGTTGGTCAGAACTATGTGGCTAAACTTAGGATTATGGGAGCACTAGGAATGATCAATCGAAATAAAGGTAGATCAGCGGGGGCGGCATGCTTCTGGGGCGATGAAGCCTCGGGGCAATCGGAGGCCCGAAAGCAGATTAGAACGTGGAGTCGTGCCTTGTTTAGGTTAATCAGCCCCGGCAGATAGCGCTCGTATTAATATCGAGGTTACATAACCTGCGTCATGTGCCTGGAATTCAAGTCAGAAATGAGAATGCATGCGACCCTGAATACGAGAATCTTGCCTCGATGGATTGGAGGATTCATTGTGCAGTGGTCTTGCGAGCCATCATTCCACCGAATGGTAGCTAAAGGAAGGACCATCCAGCGGATGCGTATGCTTCTAAGCCACGTATGACCGACGGCTTGAGCCGACTGAACCGCGAGGCGTATAGGCAATTACCTTAAGCGATCAAAGTGACCCGGAAGGCAGGTTGTTATGACCGCATAGGAACTTTTTGGCTGGACTATGACACATTGCCGGTTCACATCCGCACTAAGCTGCTGTCATGATGGATCATGAAATGGGGATTGAAGGCAGTCACGGGGAACTTAGCGAGAGTCCAAGGTCCACCGACGCAGGGAGAGGGAATACGATGGCAACGTCACTTTCTCAATCGTTTGAGTACCCACGAGCTTGTTGTCATACCATTGATCTGTGCTCATTTATTTGTTGGCCTCCAGTAATACAACCTTGACTCTTGACTGGTATAAATCCGCTCGTCCGCCGCCACTCCGGACGGTATTTTAACTCTGAGTACCTTGTTATCGAAGAAAGTTAATTCTTTCTGAGTCACAAGTACAAGAATACAGTTTTAATAAAACAGTGTAGTGCCCACCCAGCACTTGAATTGAGATGCTTTTTCAAGCTTGCCATGA